AGAGGTAAGGGAAAAGGAAAGGTAAAAGAGAGAGAAAGTGAAAGAGGAAGAAGAAGTGACGGGGATGGAAAAAAAGGATATCAAAATTTTTAAATTAAATAAAAATGCCACCTCATAAAAAAAGATGGCCAACTGTGTTTTTTTTTTCCATGTCATTAGTCAAGCAAAAAAAGAATTGATTTTGTGGCATTTTAACGTGCCACTTGTCATTTAACTAACAGAATGACCATTTTGGTACCAAAAATGAAAATTTAAGGATAATTTTGGTACTTTTTAAAGGTGAGGAACAATTTTGGTGCCAAAGTGGAAAGTTGAGGGATCAAAATGGTACTTAAACCTAATCCAAAATTTGCTGGTCCACGTAAATACCTGAGAATTCTTTTAGCAATTTGCAAGTGCAACTCCTTTGGATTCTCCATATATCTACTAATCAAACTTACACCATGCATTATGTCTGGTCTTGTTGCTGTCAGATACATTAGACTTCCAACAATCTGCTTATATAATTTGTTGTCCACAAATCTACCTCTTCGATCTTTCATGAGCTTTACACCTTTGTCAATTAGTGTAGTAACAGAATTGCAGTTTTTCATTTGAAATATGTCTAAAACTTCCTACACATATTTTTTCTGACAAACAAAAATTTTAGAATCTAACTGTACTACTTCCAGACCAAGAAAATAATACAACAAACCCAAATCTATCATATCAAATTCAAGCTTCATGGTTTGCTTGAATTTTTCCAACATGCCAAAATCATTCCTAGTATAAATTAAATCATCACCATATAAGCATACTATAATCAATTTACTTCATCTCCAAATTTGATGTAAAGTGTATGCTCATAAGGACACTTTTGAAAACCTTCCTTTAAGAAATAAGCATCAATTCGACCATACCAAGCTCTAGGTGCTTGTTTTAGTCCATATAATACTTTCTTCAATCTGTAAACTTTATGCTCAAAACCAAATTTCACATAACCAAGAGGTTGATCAATAAATACCTGTTCTTGCATATTTCCATGCAAGAAGGCCAATTTCACATCAAGCTAGTAGATCGGCCATGAGTTCTGTGCTGCCAAAGTAATCACCAATCTGATGGTGTCCATCCTTGCAACTAGAGCAAAAACTTCTTGATAATCAATGCCAAACTCTTGCTTGTAACCCTTTGCCACCAAGCAAGCTTTGAATTTGTCAACCTCCCTATTTTCTTTGAGCTTTGTCTTGTAGATCCACTTAACACCAATTGTCTTGTGCCCTTCTAGAAGATCTGTCAACTCCCAAGTCTGGTTCCTTTCAATAGAACTAATTTCTTCTGCCATGGCTTTTTGCCACTTTTCTTCTTTAATGGCTTATTCATATGTCAATGGATCACAATCTGCCAATAGAGCAAAATGATTGGCTAGAACATCATCTTGAGGTAGATCTGTTACCTCATAATCCTTCAACCATGCTGCTATTCTCTTTTTGCGTTGAGGTCCGGAACTAGTTCCAAATTCCAGTTCTGGTGTTATTGGCAAACTTCCTCCAGTACTAAGTTCTATTGCTGCAAGCAAACTTTCTTCAGTTGTTTGTCTTGAAACTTCGAGATCTGTTGAAGTTAAACCTCCAATCTACTGTGTCTAACCTTCTGAGTTCTGCACAGTCAAATCTTCTCCATTTTTGAAATCTGTAGGAATCTGTTGCCCAGATTTAAATATAGGATCTAATTTCCAACACCTTTTTAGAGGCACTCAACTTCAGTTGTAGTCCTTTAGAATTTTTCTATAACTTCACTAATTAGCTATTGTTGCGTTTGCCAATTTAAGGGACATATTTTGGTTTCATTTGATTTTTCATAATGATGGCCAAGCTTCAAATGAAATGCTTAGTAGAGCTCCTTATTTAGTGGTTATACTAATGGCTCAATGTTTACTACAAACGATTCAATTATTTTGATTTTTTTTCATCGTCAAAGTGAACATTTGAACTCTTATTCAATTGTATTCAATTGTTATAGCTGTTGGCCATTGGGCTCTTGCTCGTAAAAGAAGTGACTTTCATATGCATTCTTGGAGGTTCAGAAATTAGCATATGCATCCTCTGAATTGTTTATAAAGCATGGGTTTGATCTCATGAAAGACAAAATAATGAAGGACAATAGTTGTTTATCAAAGTTTAGCATTACCAATAAGAGTTTGGTTAAGTTAGTATTTATTAATTTAAGAATTTTGATTTAAAGTTATGGTTAGAAGTGTAAACTTAAAAATAATCAAAGTTTAGCACTCAAATGATTTTTATGAAGAATCAAATTAATTATTTTGGCCTTATTTTGCCTGGAAGGAGTTACTGTCCAACAGTTGTGGCCATATGCTACGACTACTATCCATCGGTATATATATGTTTTTTCATTTTACTCATGTGAGGCGTGAAGCAAATGCAATGGCCCATCATCTGGCTAAATCTGATTTGAAAATGGATGTTTATATATAGGATTTAAGAAATCCTGCTAGAAAAGAAATAGGACTCGGGATAAAAATATAAAATTATTAATGCTGGACGTGCTTTTGGTGTTGACACTACGAAGTATATGTTGACACCATACCTCGTGTCAGGTTTCTTTTTGCAATTTCATCAATGGTAAAATAGTAGATCTCATCCTCCAACTTTTGTAAAGTGAGCACTTTAATCTCATAACTTAAGATTCATTCATTTAGGTCCTAGAAAAGGAACCTTTCTTCTCACAATTCAGTCCTTCAACATTTTAAAAATATTTAATTAATCCCAAAAATTTTTATTATTATGCATTCAAGTCTTTTTCAACACAAAAAAATGAAAACTTTGTAAAATCTATTAAAAATCACATATTATCCTTACAAATAATAATAAAATAAAGACTAATATAATAAATTAAAGCATATAAAATGCTTCTCATCACTACTATTGCTTTTATTAATTCCTTAGCTCGAATATAGTTGCTTAAATTTGATTTTGGATAAAATTTTAAGTAAATAATTTTATATAATAAAAAAATAATGATTAAAATTTTTTCTTCCTATACATAAATTTTGTTGAATATTTTTACTTAAATCAAGTAATTTTATAATTATCATTCATTTATTATATAGAATTATTAAATTAATTTATATAAAATTAACAAACTAATACAACTAAAAATAAAATACAAAAGAAAGTAAAACATGATACAAATATTTTTTGAGAAAAAAAATTTAATATAGTCTTCTGCTTATATTAATTTCTATTATGAAAAAATAGCTGTACCTCCCAAAAAGAAAAAAAACTGGTACGCTGGTTTTATTTTTTAGCTTTTCCAATAATTTGTAGCTGTATTTTTTATTATTAAATTTAGATCTCCTTGGCTAAGTTCTCTGTTTGTTTCCTCTTCGACGTCCCTCATACTGAGTCTTTTTTTTGCTTTCCCTCCGCTATACCAATTGTTCCAATTCAGGAAATTACTCTTGCCATGCTGCCAGCGGACTGAATCCGGGACCCATTGGGTAAGTTCCACTGGTTTTTTTTTTTTTTTAATGAATTATATGAGAGAGAATAACTCTCTCATTTTTCTAAATCTCTTCCCACCTAATTTAATTTTTGAATATATAGTCTCCAACTTAAAATCTAAAATTTTCTTTTTTGAAAGGTAAAACATATTTTTATTAAATTTAGAATACAAGAAGTAATTTAACCTATACAAAGCAATTGGAGCAAATACATTGATACCCAATCAGAAGCCTCAATTTTCTTAAACCAATTCTCAATCATACCCTGTAAATTAATCTCCCATTAGGAATTTAGGCTGTTTACCCTTATTATAGAAGACCTGCTTTAGTTGTAAACACCACTCCATAGAAGAGATATGCTTAAACCCATTCCATCTTCTGCACCAAAGATACGTTCTGATATGGAAATCAAATAATCTATCCTTAGAGGTATAGTATTGGTCCTTAGTCCAAATGATTTGAAACGTCCTTTCTTCTTTTTCAAATGATTTGGAAGATTTTAGGTAAGAGAAGAAAGGGCGTTTTTACGTGTTTACGTTTTAGTAAAACGTCCTTTTTCTCTCAACTAAAACCTTTCAAATCATTTGGACTAATCCATTTTTTACTTTTACATGAGTGCCGGTTAGGTAAGCAAATTGGGCTTAATTGGGTACCAAAGATAAAATATTAAAGGCTTAAATCCCGCCATAAATTGATCTTCTATAATATTCCAGATTTCCCTTCCATCATAATTCATGAATAGGAATGGCATCCGGACAGTGCAAGGATGGGAAGTCATACCATCTTCGTTCATATCAATGTTGGGGACGGTATCTCTAACAGGTTTTTTTTTTTTTTTTTTTTTAAGACAAATCAAAATTTTTTATTATTCAGAGTACATGGGTACTCGATTCATAGCCTCATGGACACAGGTAATTAATGGGGATGGGATCCTTGCGAGAATCCGTATTGCCACCAATACTAGATGAAAATTTAAAAAATAGAAATTTTGAACTCTTTTAATTTGGTTAAATTTAAAAATAATAATTTCTTTATAAATATATTGTGAAATGTATTAAATTGAAGAATGTCTACAAGGACA